ACACCTTTCACTTGGTGCAGTTGGAGAAAAGTCAATGTAAATGTAAATGGGAAAAGCCCGGTTTATAATATCTATCTGTGTATCTGTGTATATATCTACTATCATTGCATAGGAAAACCACTTCTGTGTATGAGGGGAAATGGTGCAAATGGGTTCAACCTATTAATGGAGTTTCAGAGAGAAGGTAAATATGGCCACCTTTGGAATAGATAGAGGAGTTTTTATTGTTCCTTTTAATCAGCAGAGAGTTTTAATTTATTTAAAGTTGAAAAACGTTGCTTTACAACCAAACAAAAAAACAACAATAAACCAAACAAACTCATAGACACATACAACCGTTTAGTGGTTACCAGAGGGAAAGGGAGTGGGGAAAAGATGAAGAGGGTAGAGGGGACCCATTCTATGATGACAGAAGGAGGCTAGACTCTGGGTGGTGAGTACACCATACAAGTGATGTGTTATAGAATTGTACACCTGAAACTTGTATAATGTTATGAACCAGTGTCCCCCAAAAAACCTTAATAAAAACAACAATAACAACAGAACAAAAACCAAAACAAAACACGGTTTTAGACTACTAGGTATTTTCCAAGTCATCAGGCCTCATATCTCTCTATTATTTTAAAACCCATTTATGGCTGGTTGACATCTACCTTTAAGCACATAAATAGATTGTTTAGTAAAGTACTCTTTTTTTTAAAATCCAGGATTTGGGGCAAATGCTGTTGAAGTAATGTTCACTGTGAGGGTGGGCTGGACTGTGTGTCTTACTTTGTTGCTGTAGCAGTCCCATCAGCCATTTTTAGCGGCTCACCACAGCTCCTAATTCTGCTGGCAGAGCCTCCTAATGTGGGTTTGGACGTTAGCCTAGAAGGCATCTTGAAGCTTTCAGAGACTTGTTAACATCTCACATAACTTAGTCTGTAGAATTTCAGTAATTTTCATGTAGAGATTTTTACTTTCAAGGAAATCAGCATGACCAGCAGCTCCTAAAGGCCCCTCTTGGCCTCTCTTCTAATTGTCCAGCAGACAGGGGTGACAGCAAATATTTTGGCGCATTTGTACACTAGCCTCATGGTGGGACTATGAGGGAAATGGCTGTGAATTTGAAACTGTGTGAACCGTAATAATGTCCATGGATACTTGGTATGATGACTGCAGGCAGAATAAGCAGGCCCATTGAATACTGAACAGGAGCAGATAGGAACTAAATTAGAGGAGTTTGATTTGGCTAATTAAAAAACCTGTTTGTAACATGCTTTATTTATTTTTATTAATTTTTTAAACAAACATACAGCACTTAAAGGTGTCAGGCAGTATGCAAACATCTCATTGAATTATCACCGTCTGACAAAGGCCCTAACGTGTCAATTCACCCATGAGCAAACTGAGGCTCAGGGAGGCTGCAGAGTGAGCCTTCCGTGATTAGCACAAGGCAGAGTTTGCTGCCATTAGAGAGCCCAGAGTCTCTTCATGACATCTTGCCTGCCTCCCACTCTATCTGTCTTCCACCTTTGTTTGATCTATTCTTTTTGCCTGAAACATCCTTTTACTCATTGAAATTCAAGTGCTTTTTAAGTTCTAGCACAAGCACCGACCAGCACGATGTCTGCACACATAGCAGAATCTCAGTCATTGTTAGTTTCCTACCTTCATTTCCCACAAGAACTTCCTAGCTTCCAGTGTGGTGTTAGCCTTTCTCTTCTAGTCCCTGTCCCACTCTGTTTGTATCTCCTTGCTGCTCACCATCATTTATGTGCATGTCTGTGTTCTCCACTCCAGTGCATGCTGTCTGAGGTCAACAGATGCTTTCCACCTTCTTTTTATTGAATCCGTGGGGGCCGAGATAGTGTTTTCTACTTGACCCTGAGATGAATTGGATGGGCTCATGTTAAAACAGGACTGGGCCATCCTCAGTGTGGGCTGATCTTTATAATGCTGTAACATAAGTAGGGGCCTCATTTGGACATCATTTATGCTTTTTTTTTTCCAGTGAGTCAGTTTTCTGGGGAAGATAGAAGACTCCAAAAAAAACTATAAGACTGTTCAGAAAAAGTAAATGAATGTTTATTAGATTATAAAATATTTGAAGACAGGACCATTTGTTATTTATCTTTATGCCCCACTCCGCAGCTGCCCATTGCCTTTCCCATACAGAGTGAATTATTTAAAAGTACATTGACTAGTAAGCCAAGAACAAAGGTTTACCCCTACACAAGACTGAACCCTGAAATAAGTTTCATCCTGCTGACAGCCCCTCATGCCCACCCCCAGAAGGTCAGAGTCCTAAGGTACTTTAACTAGGATTCTTTTGGGTTTTTTTTTAGTGTTTGCATGAATTCTCTCGCCTTTCATTCTCACTTCCTGCAGCAACTTTCATTCTTATCCTTGCCTGTAATTGCTGGGTATTAAAAGACTGTGTGAATGTGTTAGGAAACAAAATTGCATTGTATAAATATTCTTACCCTGGGGTTTTTCTTTTCTGTGATACTGGAAGAAGTCCCCTTTTTTACCTCCTGTCAAGTCTGTAAAGGGATTTTCACAACTAATTTGGGATAATAAAGGCATGCATACTGTAATGCAGCTATTCTTTTTGGGAATATGTATATTCCAGAAGCTTCTATTTAAGTTGCCTGGACTAGATGAAATTTCCCCACAATGGTTTCAAAGGATGAATGCATTGCCTGCCTCTTCACATTCTGCCCACAACCCACTCATTTTCCAAACGACCCTAAAACTCAGCCTTCATTTCTGTAGCACAAAAACAGCTGCTCAGGTGCTCTGTGGTTTGTTCATGATCAAATTAAAGGGGCTGAAAAATCAGAGGTCAAAACAAAATCAGAGGTCATGGAAAATATAACATGGCTTGGTTGAAAGGTCGTGTTCGTTTTGAAAGTGAAACACGCAACAGAAATGGAAGGCTGATCAATGTTTTACTCTGACAATGCTTTGCTGAGCCATGAGGAAGGAGTATCCATTAAGTGCATGAAATGTGCCTTGCTGACCTCTTAAACTCTGAGAAATCTATTGACACCACGGACTTTCTCTGTTTCCTTTATGAAGGAAACACATGCACTTAGTATAAAGGATCATCTCCTGTCCCCTCTTCCCCTGCTTCTGCTTCTTTCCCTGTCCTCAGGTACACCACCTTCCCTGAGGATCTCCCCACCCATCTTTCTTAGGTCACTTTTCTTTGAAAGAAAAAATGATTCTTTGCTTATGTGATAGTTAATTCTGTGTCAACTTGACTTGCTTTGATACCAGCTGGTTGGTGAACAAACTAGTCCAGATACTGCTGTGAAGGTATTTTGTAGATGTGACTACCATCTACAATCAGTTGGCTTCAAGTAAAGGAGATTGTCTTTGATAATGTGAGTCTCATCTAATCAGCCAAAAGCCTTAAGAGCAAAAACTGCATTTATTGGAGAAGAAGGAATCATGCCTCAAGACTGGGACACATCAACTCTTGCCCAAGCTTCTAGCTTCTGGGATGTCCTACCAATTTCTGACTTGCCCCATAATCACAGAGGTGCATGAGCCCCCCCCCCTTTTTTTTGAAAGAAGGCCTCTTCTTTTCTTTTTTTTTTAAAATTGGGGAATTGGGGGAGGGGAACAATGTTGGGGAATTGGGGAGGGGGATCAGCCAAGTTGTTGTTCTTCAATCTTAGTTGTGGAAGGCGCCAGTTGCCATCTGGCTGCCGGTTGGCAGCTCGTGGTCTGCCAAGGTGCTGTGTTCAACCTTAGTTGCGGGTGGGTGTAGCCACCATCCCATGCGGAAGTCGAACCAGCAGCCTTGTTGTTAAGAGTGCACACTCTATCCACTGAGCCATCCGGGTGGCAGCTCAGCTCAAGGTGCCAAGTTCAGCCTTAGTTGTGGGTGGGCATAGACACTATCCCATGTGGGAGTCGACCCCGGTAACCTTGTTGTTAAAAGCGCCCACTCTATCCACTGAGCCATCTGGACAGCAGCTCAGCTCAAGGTGCTGAGTTCAGTCTCAGTTGTGGGCGGGCGTAGCCCACCATTGAACAGGCAGTCGTTGTTAGGAGCACGTGCTCTCACCAGCTGAGCCATCCTGCCACCTGTTGGCAGCTCAGCAGAAGCTCAGTTCGGGTGCAGCATCACTGGTCCATGTGGGAATCAAACCGGCAGCCCTGTTGCTTAGATCTCATGCTCTTAAGCTACCGTATTTCCCCATGTATAAGACGCTCCCATGTATAAGATGCACCTTAATTCTGAGGCTCGAAATTTGAAAAAAAAAGTATTACATAAAGTTATTGAACTCAAGTTTTATTCATCATAAAAAAGCGAAATTCAAAAAAAGCAGGAAATGCAAGTAAAAAAACTACAACCACTGTATAATACGCACCCAGTTTTTAGACCCCAAAATTTTCGAAAAAAGGTGTGTCTTATACATGGGGAAATATGGTAATTCTTAACCAATTGGCCGGCCTGCATGAACCCTTCTTTAAACTAAATCTACCTCTCCTTCTGCCCCGCCCCATCTCTCCCTCTCCCTCTCTCCATCCCCCTGTCCCTACCCATCCCTCCTCCTTCTCCCTCCTCCCCCTCCCCCTTCATTCTCTTCCTTATCCCTCTTTCCTCTCCCTTTCCCCCTCTCCTTCTCCCTCCCTTTCCTCCTTCCCTTCCCCTCCCCCTCTCCATTTCCACCTCCAATCTCTCCTACTTGTTTTGTTTCTTTGGAGAACTTTAACTGCCATACCATATTTCAAGTGTCTAGGCATACAACCACACTTATTGGATAATGTAGTAGGAAAGAGCTCTTCATTCGTTTTGGTCATCCTGATTATTGAAGAATATTTTCTAACTTTTTTTTTTGAAAGAGAGCACTGCACACCATGTTCAGAAAGGTACACAGTACACAGGAGGTTTTGCTAATGAAGATCAACTAGAACATTGATTCCTCTGGGCACCTTCCCAACCTCACCCTTCTTAAGGGGTCAGGCACCCTAACCATTTCCTTGAAGGCAACTGTAGTTCACTAGAGATAGAGCCCCTCAGGGGTGCCTTCCTGTTTTTTTTATAAAGAACATTTTCTTTAGATTTTTTTGAAGTCTTCATTTGTTACTTTCATTCTACATTCTCACAAGGCCATCAGACTGGCTTCTGTACATTGCCTTGCTGTCGACACCAGAGAGGTCATCTTTAGCCATGTCATTGTCCAGTGTCACGTAATTGGCCAGACTCATTCTGCTTGTGTAGATCTGAAAGATGCGCTTCTTGGTCTTTTCGTCAGGCAGGGGGAACTCGATTTATTGGTTGTCGGGAAAGTCAAGACTTATTTTGTCTATGTTTTTCAAAGGTTATTTATTTATATAAAGAACAGAGATCAATCAATGATGTATTGCCTGTTTTGTTTGATAACCTTTTGCCATCTTTCAGTGAGCTTCATAATTCCTCGTTCATAGAAGGACCTGTCTTTATTTGTGAAAAACTGAACAAGGTGCTGATTTATAGCCTCATATGATTTGAATGTTACACCACACAAGTTTTGAAGAGAGCAAAGCAAGTGCAAGTCTGATGGTGCTAGGTTAGGTGAGTATGGTTGGTGTGGCAACACATCCTATAATACAAGCTCCATGAATTTTTGATGGGCGATTAAGTTGTGTGTGGTCTCACATTGTGGCGATGGAACACAACTCCTTTACAATTAACAAGCTCTGGACATTTCTGGATGATGGATTCATTCAAACTGTCCAATTGCTGACAGTACACATTCAAATTGATTATTTGGTTCCTTGGTAGGAGCTCGAAAAACACGACACCTTTAAAATTCTACCACACTGAGAGCATAATCTTCCTCTGATGAATGTCTGCTTTCCATGTTGTTTGAGGCGAATCATCATGCCAGGACCAAGATCATTTGCACTTCACATTGTTGTAACAATCCACTTCTCATCACCAGTTATCAGTTGCTTCAAAAAAGGATCATTTCCCTCACATTTAATGAGCATATTGAGATGTTTATATGCGTTGTCAAATGAACTTCTTTGAGTTCATGCGGAACCCAAATATCGAGCTTGCTTACGTATCCCAGCTTCTTCAGGTGGTCATGAATGCTTGAATGATGGATGTTCAATGTTTCTGCAATCTCTCATGTTGTGTAACGTGGGTTGACTCAATCAATGCCTTTATTTTGTCGTTGTCAACCTCGGTGGGCCTCCCTGACTGAGGAGTGTTGTTGAGATCAAAATCACCAGCACAGAATTTCGTGAATCATCATTGACATAGACGTTCTTGTAGAGCAGCGGTTCTCAACCTGTGGGTTGTGACCCCTTTGAGGGTTGAATGACCCTTCCACAGGGGTCTCCTAAGACCATCAGAAAACAAAAAGATATTCACATTATGATTCATAACAGTAGCAAAATTACAGTTATAGAGTAGCAATGAAAATAATTTTATGGTTGGGGGTCACCACAACATGAGGAACTGTATTAAGGGGTTGTGGCATTAGGAAGGTTGAGAACCGCTGTTGTAGAGCATTGTCACCGTAAACTTTATGCAACTTTTCACAAGCTTGATGCACTTTCTTCCCTTTATGGAAGTAAAACAGTAAAATATGGCAGAAATGCACAGTTTGGTCTTCCATCTTCAACTTGTAAAATCTCCAAAACTCAACCAAATCACTCAGTTTTTTTTAGAATGAACATAGCAATAACATAGATGAAATTACTCTAGTATTTCAAAAAATGAACTAGTGCCATCTGTTGCAAACATGCGTCATGACTTTTTCGACAACCCAATACCTGTCAGTGTGGCCTGGTCTGATAAGTGCTGGATCCAAAGGTTTATTTAGGTTATAGCCATGATAACTTTCATGTCTCCCCTTGAATTAAATCCATCCAACTGGTTCAGGAGTTGCAACATTGGTTACTGAATTTCTCTCTCACCACCTAAATTTGCATCATATCTTTTGGTCCCAATGGCATCAGTTTCATCAATAAACACTATGGATGGTGCGTGTTCTTCAGCAACTCTAAATAATTCCTGAATGAGTTTGGGCCCATCACCCAGGTACTTCTGAATAAGTTCAGAGCCAACCAGTCTCAAGAAAGTGGCTGAGATTTTGTTTGCTGCTTCTTTGGCTAATAAGGATTTACCTGTGCCAGGTGAACCATAGAGAATGACCCCTTTAGAGGGCTTTATACCCATCTCTTCATAATATTCAGGATGAGTGAGAGGAAGCTCCATAGATTCCTGAATTTCCTGGATTTGGTTGTCCAAACTCCCAGTGTCAGCATAGGTCTCCTGTGGGGCCTTTTCCACCTTCGTTGTCACTGTGACCACGGGGTCCATGTCATCCATCAGCACCCCTATCACGGCATGCACTTTGTGGTTGAGCAGGACCGAGCAGCCTGGCTCTAGCAGATCCTTGTCTACAAATGAAAGAATGCTGCCTTAATATTCTGAGCCCACAGATGTAGCCACAATGGTATGATTGTCATCAATGATCTCTTTCAAATTTCCTACTGACATTGGGATCATCCACCCTAAGATCATCCACCTTTGATCTTTCCTCCTCTTGTTTTTCTTCTAAAGGCTTCATTTGTTCCTGATTTCTAATGAATTCTTCGTCCATGAGAAGATAATCTTTAATTCTAACTTCTATAATTTTAACTGGCACTGAGTGTGGCGTCACCAGTGGCAGTTTGCTGGCAGCATCTGGGCCCTTTGTTTTCTTCTTCTTTTTTCCCCCCACTCTAGTTGGTACGGGAGGTTCATATTTCTTTTTCTTGTCCTTGTCATCCTTCTTGCCACCTCCAAGACATGACCACCAGTTTGATTTTGACCCATCTTGATTCTGCTGCTTGAGCCACCGCTGCCAGGAGCCCTTTCTAACTTAATCACCAGTGTGCTCACTGCCCAGGTCCAACAGGTAACTTCTCCCCCTGCTTGCTTTCCTGATGTCTGCTCATTTCCTGGTGGCTAGTCCTTGGTGAGTGTTTTGAGAGCTTACCGTCTGCATAATACTCTTTCTACTCACTGCTCCCTTTTTGTTGGCCCTGTTATGGAGACTAGAAAATAGGTGACTTACAACTAGGGGTGAGAAAGGAGAACTGTGAGAACCATTGCTGTTTTCTTCTTTTTGTCTGCTTTTTGCCTGAAGGTTTTTTATTGAACTATTGGAACGTCGGGAAAGTCATGACGCATTTTTGCATTGAAAAACATGTCACAACTTTCCCGATGACCCAATAAATGGCTTTGCAGAGTGAAAGTTTGAAAATTTCAGGGACATGTTCTCTAGGCATCCTTCCTTTTAAATGAATATGTGTTAATAAAATACGAACCTTGTGGAATTTCTAAGGTAGGATGTACAGTTCACCAGGCTGGAAGTCTTGAGAGGCATATGACATGAGAGGTAGCTCTTTCTTGTTGTGAAGGCTGTGATGCAGCCCAGCTTGGCGAGGATGCTCCTCACACCTACACCGAGGGGATCAGAAGGGAACTGAATGACTGAACCTGTGGGCGTGACACTGAGCTCAGAGGTGATACACGCAATGGTCACATGGAGATTCTCAGATGAAATGGGCTTCCTGGAAAGAGCGAGGCTCACAGGGTCTGCAGGCTTCTTGTCACAGATGGGGGCAGAGCCCGGTGTCTTAGACCCACCTGAGTCAACCCTCTCTCCAGATGGGGACACTGACACTTTCAATGTTTCCACTGCACATCAAAGGGAATTTGAGGTAAAAAACCAAAAAGTAAAGTTAACAAAAATAGGATTTTATTTCAAGAAATTTTCTTTTCAGCATCTCTGGTGGATGCCTAGTCTGCACAGCCCAAGCCTCCTAGACACGTCACTGCCTGTCACTTCTTCCTTATCTTATTGGCCAGCTGTGTTTGCTTCTAGGGCTCTGAACTTCTCTTCAGCCATTTTTCCATCTCAACTTTTATTCTTTTGTTTGCACATCGCTAGGAAGTATGTTATTGACCGAGACTTTTCGAATTCCTGTCCAGAGAACAGGAGGTAAAGCTCATGTCTTATTTCATTTCTTCCTGAAGCTCTTCCAACTTCTGTTAAGTTGTGTAAGTGCGGACTTGGCTAATGCCAGTTAATAAAGGGGATTTTCCTGGGCCTGATGGGAGTCTCTGTGGTTAGACAGCTTTGTCTTTAAATCTTAGCCCCATGCTTTACTGCCTTTGTGACTTTAGACAATTTAATTACTCAAGTCCTCAGTTTTCTTATTTGTAAAACAGGACAAATAATGTCTGTTGTGAAGACATATATAAAGAATAGATATGTAATTATTGGACACTGTTATTGTTAATTATCAAAGACCAGTTATTTGTTTTCCAGGCAAGAAAAACAAATCTATATTATATTTGTTATGAAGAATTTTTACCTATGCCTTTTTTAACCTTCTTTCTTTGATTTCATAAGAATAAAAGGCAATGGAAAGCTAATATTGTTTTGAATAAAATTAAATTTAAGGGTCTTTACCATTTGTGAGTGTCATCATGGTGACAAAAAAATGCATGGTCGTTATCAACTCTCTCCACCTGAAATTATTATCATATAAAATTAGATATGGCTGCTGCTATGAAAAGTCAGAGTATAAATAAGTTGAAGTACCTTGATTACAGTGCCTGCAGAATTTGGTATGATGGTGTAGTTCCAAAAGTGGTAGTAAATGGTAAGGTGACACCCCTCTAGGTCCTTAGGAAGCCAACTTTTGGCTGTGCCCTCTGATTCTGAACTGGGAGGACATGGTTACATGGGCTGTGCCTTGTTTTGCTTTAGTCTCCTGCCTCATTCAAGGTGACTTTACTGTCTTTGCATTTTATGGCTGCCTTTGCACCTGCCTACTGCTTCCTTCAAGGATATGCATGAGTTCTGGTGCGTTTATAAAAAACATACCGAATGACTTTATAACAACTTTCATGTATAGTTGATAGTAATAATTTAATGTTAGATAATTATTTTTGAAAAGAAATGTTGATTCTTCTATCTTATAACCTACTGCAAATCATATACCTAAAATAAAACTCTATTGAGAAACGAATGGTCACCAAATTGTGAAAGCCATTAGTTTATCCAAGTGGTATAAAGAGTATCCACAGTGTATACTAACATGGAAGTACCCAAGTTCATTTCCAAGAAACTGAAGTTCCCTGGAGCAGGATGATCCCTGGGGACAGTGACAGCTCCTTCAGACTCAGGGAGAGTTAGCTGTGTTGATAGAGGGGTCCAGGACAGCACAGGAGATGACAATCAGAGTTAAAAGAAACATGCAGGGACCGTGAACATTGTCAGATAGCTCTAACAGTTTGTTTCCAGATTTTCGCTGGTTTCAGAATAATACTCAAATTTTGCATTTGACAGAAACCCCAGAGCTCTGTAAAGTAAAAACATTTTGTAGTCAGGTTTAAATTTTCAAATCAGAATGGGCGTCTCTTCCAGTACATCTTTTCATAAATTGGCAGTGCTTAGAAGACACTGTGTTTGGATGGAAAAATGAAACCTGGGTTATCTGTCTGGTGAGCAAAAGGACTGCCAAAGCCCAGTATTCCCCGAAGGGATGAAGGTCTTTTTGATGCCCTCTCTCCCCCTGCAGTGATGGCAGTCTTCCCCACAGGCACAATGACCAGACTGCTGGCATTCTTCTGGTGGACCTGACATCTAGTTCGCTGAATGAAGCACCTTCTGAAAATCCAAAAACTTGGGATCTTGAACCAAACATCGTCCTTAGGGTCTGGAGATTGTCTTCCCTGGGCAAAATGTTGACCACTATTTCTGAGAAAAATGTCTCCAAAAAACTCTTTGATGTTGAAATAGCTCTACAAAATAACATTTTGGTGTTTTAAAGTATAAACTAACCAAAAACACATGATTTCCGTTTCCTATAAATCACAGAAAGTTTGCCCAAGAGAAAAATGCATGGCAAAACACATCATGAATAAACAGTTTAAGGTCGTAATCTGTTTGCACAAATAGGTCAAGGACTGGGGAAGGTGACATGCAAATCTGCATTCAGGTGGAGCACTTGGGGTGCATTAGCATCAGCTCACCTGTGGGGAAAGGCGAGACACCAGCGGTGATGCTGAGTCAGTTAAGGTGAGAGAGTGGCCCTTGGTTTCTTTGTCCTTCAGTGGAAGCCTGAGCTAGCTAATGTGAACTTTTATTTGCATTACTCTTTGAGAAAATCAGATCAAGTTATTAAAATTTTCAATTATAATATTTATTATGGAAATGAATTTTTACTGCTCTTCAAATAATCTGGTTTGCTGGTCAATCTCTTGCTCATTCACCACTGCCTGCATTAATGGATTGATAAGAGAGATTTACAATAAGCATATGGGAGCAGAGCTTCTGAACATGGGGAAATTGGGGAACTGCCAGGATTTCAAATATCCTATGTTTGATATTCTTGACATTGTAATTTGTATTATTTGTGAACCAAGTTTTTTTCTAAAGAAATGATTACATCAGCGCATTAATAGAGTCCAAAATAATTTGGATTTACTTTCTGGATAAGAATACTTAACTTGCATTTAGGTTGTGAAATTTGTTGGGAATTTCTTGGAATCTTCTTGACTCCCAGGTAAGTGCTCTTTTAAGAAGCTGGAGGGTAAAGGAGTGATGGGTATTGAGTATTTTCTCTGTGTCATGCATTGTGCTTTTGAATATGTTTGTCTTTTAAAATGCAGGAATCCTTTAAGAAGTCTTCTTACCTTGACTTTATAGGAGAGGAAACTGAGGCTGGAAAGGTGAAGGTCATTTAACCAAGATCAGTAGTGGCTATTGTTTCCCCGCCAGGTCTTGAAAACTTTTGTGTAGGATTGGGAAATGCTTTGGCCACATCAGTTTCTAGTTTATCAGATTTGCAAAGTTCCTTTGCTGTCTTCTCCTATACTGACAGCTGGGACACACGGCATATGCACAAATTTGAAGGTTGAAGACCAATCCTTTGTTATAATTAAAAAAATTTTCAGAGAAACCCAGAGACTTAAAAAACATTTCTTCATCATGTGAGCCTTGGTGTGATAAAAAGTGTGCAGAACATCAGGAAACCGGACTTCTAATCCAACAGACATGGGCAGCAGTGCAGAACTGGTCAGTGTGCTTGTTTGTGAAATGGGGTGTTCAGATAAGGTTCCTTGCAGTAACAATAGCATGAGTAACATCATGATGAAAAATAACAAAATAAGTAAAATAATAAGAGTGAATAACTTAAACAAAGGACAAGCCATTCTCTTCATTTGGCACTTACAGGTCAGTATTTATGGGGACACTCCCTTGCTGGTGCCCAGATGCTATCCTGACTTCACTACTGTTCAAAAGTCCTAACCCTCAGAGGAGGCAGGTCCAGTTGTCTGTCCACTGCCTGGTGGTGACCGTGGTACGGGCACCCTTAGATTTTGGTGGGAATGATGGCGCAGTCTGTGCTCCGTGATAGAAATTTCTCCGAGTGCTGTTTTTTTTTAATTAAATTATTTTTTATTATGAAATACACATTTTTTAGAATTAATTTCAGCTGTACAACACAGTGCAATAGTTATACTTTTTACCCCTCGGAGTGACAACCCCCCTCCCCCAATCCGCCGCCCCATTTCCCCCCAATATCATACATATCTATTACAAATCCCTTGACTCCACTCCCACACTATACTCCACGTCCCATGACTATATCTATCTATCTATCTATCT